TGAAACCACAGAAGCAGTTTCCACATTTCCTTCCCGAGCGTACTGACACGCGGCCATGCTGAGCTCACCAGTGTTGACTGTGGGAAGCCTGCACGTCGCAGCTGTGATGATGCTGAATTCATAGTCTCTGCTTCTGAAATGTAACTGTAAATACTAGGAATCCTATTTCTTTAGGGTTACGTAACTAGGAGTCTTAGTCCAAGATTCTTTCCTCTAACCCTTGCAAACCCTCCTGCTTTATCGTTAATAGATGATCTTAAGAATCAAGAAATATTTATTGCTTTTAAAGAAACCTATATTTAAAAGATGTTCTGTTTTCATGTAGTAGTGCGGGTCATTCTGCCCTGGATCACTGCAGACAGCAAGTGTGCCATGGAACCCTGGCCAGTGAGACTGGTCTCTCTTTGCAAGAAAATATCCAAGATATTTATTTTCTAAAACAGAGTTGATTATTCTAATATAATACTCTGTTCTGGGGGCTGTGTGTCCATTACATCCAGTCAGGGCCCACTGAGAGAATGAAATGCACACAGTGGTGTAGTGGAGTGGCAGGGACTTGGTAAAAAGCTGTATTCTGATAGGCATGGATGAATTTGCTGTGTTCTTCAGCCCTTCAGAAAGCATCTTCTTTAAGAAGCACATTTTAGGGGAAGCTTACGGTACTTTTTAATCAGCTGGCTTTTGATTAGCTGAAATTTTATTTTTGTAATGATCTGGCTAGCACCAGTGTGACAGGCTGGCAGCGCTTGATGGTTGATTCGGCTGTTGCGTGTCTTTTGCCTGATGTAAGGAGGGGAGGAGAAACAGTGACACTAAACAGAAACTTAGATAAGGTAGGACGTCTTGTGGTTCTCTCTTCTCCTCCCACGTGTACCTAGAGTGAGCAACTGCAAGGCCCCTTACTGTCCTCAAACACTTTCTTTTTTTCTTTCTCCAGAAGTGAGGTTGTGTTGCCTCCCTGCTGAGGAACCATCTTCACTGCCTTAGAGTGGCTGAGTAACCAGCCTTCTAGTTAGTGCAGTGTGGCAGCCTCTTCAACTTAGCTGCATTCTTAACGAAAAGAGATTGTTCACAGCTGACAGGGGAACCCCCCCTCCTCTCTAGAACACTATTTCTGTGCCACTGCTAGAGCAAGGAACCAAGTTTGGAACAGAGCTTATTGCAAGGTCAGAGCAACACAACGCTTTGAACTTCACCAGCTTTTTTGTTGAGGGAGGTGTTCAGTGGGAGGCCGTGGGAGCTCTAAGGCTCTAGGGAAGAGCTTTATTGAAGGAAAGCTTCCCACCAGAACTTTTTCATCTTACTGAATCAATTCAACTTCTCAGCAATGTCACACAGAAATTGCTTAGTCCTTGCAAAACACGACGCACAAACATTTAAGGAAGCTTCCAAGATAAACAGCTCACACTAAGGCTTAAGTTACATGGGCTTTAGCAAATACTTGATCCCCACAGCCAGAGCCGCCTCGTTTTACAGGTGAAAAGGGCCGCAGCAGGGTGCAGGAACAGGAGGTGCTCGCCTCTGCTCGGGAAGTTGGGCTCTGCCACCTCGTAGGAAGTAGCTGACAGCCAGGTCTCACCTCAGCGTCCAGCCTGTGCCGGGGTGAGGTGACAGCACCTGGCCTGCAGAGCAGCAGCGAGGGGGTCATGCTCTCTTTGTGGAGAAGAGGCCGAACTTCATCTCGCCAGTGCTACTGCTGTCCTCTGCTCACCCTGACAAGCCGGGGCGCTGGCAGAAAGCGTGCCCTGCACGCTCTGCCCGAGCCACATCCTTGTGCTCCGTCGTTGAGGCAGTTCCTAACAGGGCTACAGCTCCCACATCTCATAAGGCAGGATGCCGGCGTGGCACGTTTTTTTTTTCTCTGCTTCAGAAGGCTGGAAATCTGCCTATCTAAGCTGCTAGTGTTGAGCTGGATGGCCATAGCAATAACGAGATTCTCTAGGGCTGAGTTACGTGCCTCTCTTGTGGACATTCCTCAGTTTCAACACATAGTTGCTACATCTAGGCTCTGAGTTCCCTGACCACTGCACAAACGCTCTGCTTCAGGAAAGATCTAGCTGGTGCTGTGGCCTGCCACAGATCCTGTTATGAAGGCTGTTCATTTTAGCAGCTGTCTGCTCGATTCTGTATTAAGGACAGCATGTATGGAGCTGCTAATTTACAGATACTTTGGGTGAAGGGGAAGGGCTCCTAAATTGTATTGGTTTGGAAACAGTCTCCAATGTACTTCAACTATTCACAGAATTTCCAATAAAACTTTTATGTAAGCAACATTCTGTGCTTTTTCTCCCGTGTGTATTGACAGGTCTGGGACGGTCCTGACCTCTCACTCCTCTTCCAGGAAAGGGGATGGTCAGAGCTGCCTGTCAGCAAGTGCAGGAGGGGGCAGGTTGCTGCCTTCGATACAGAGGGTAAAATGCACCAGTGCATTACACCTGGAGTAGCAGCCTGGGGAGACCACCCTACCAGGAGGACAGGGAGGAAGAGACAGAAGAGGTGCCCAGCTGATCCCAAACGCAGGCGCGGGGAACACACACAGTGTTTGGCCCTGGTGACCTCCCCAGTGAGTTGGGAAACAGGGTTATCTGGATATCCCACCCCAGCTGAAAATGTTTGTCTTCCAAAGAAAGGGGTGGGAAGAAAAGAAAAACCCAAGCCACCAGCAGAATTTGTATGTGGTTGCCACTATGTGCTTAAAAGGAGCGTGGGAATGTTTTGATCTGATAGAAGAGATTAATGAGATGTGGAAAGAACCAGCGTGGGTATTCCAGCAGCAAGAAGTGCTGGTGAAAGGGCATGCTGCTTGCAGCATGTAGTTCACGCCTGTCTGACAACCAAACTTAACCCGATGCAACACACGGTGCCAGGCACGGTGCTAACACCTTCCCTCTGAAGGAAAGATAAGATGGTCAAACTCTCTGTGTAAATATAACAACTGCTGATTTAAACTGCAGTGTAAAGGGTGTCTGGTTAGTATAAAGAAGAGACGGTGGGTGAAGAGGCAGGAAGGGGGGAAAAAAATTAAAAATGACTGCATATATTGGAAGCTTCTATGAGGGGCAATATTCCAGCTTGGGGAACAAAGATAAATAGTAAAAGCAATCTTTTCTTAATCTTCAAGAGGTAACACAATAAACTGAGAATCCCCTTGCAACTGTGTCTAGATACTGATCTATCTACATTACGTGCATGTCCGTGTGTGTGTGTTTATGAGCATCATTTCAGGCGCTTAGAGGAGACACCGCACAATGTGGGGAGAGATGAATGGCTGGCAAAGTCACCCAAACCATCCTGCGGGAGCTGGGCCTTACCACAGGGATCTACCCTCTTCACCGTGTCACCAGGAAGACAAGGGATTGGGAAAACCATCAGCAAATTAGCGAAAAAGTAAACAGCCACAGAAGGGTGACTCATCAGCAAGGTCACAAACAATCAAATATACCATCCAATCATGAGCCTGTATTATTTTTATGAAGAAAAATGTTACAGCAGGTAAATTAATTAATGGGACTACAAGGACCATATGCAAAATATTACCTGTGAACAGATGCTAAAAATACCTCTGCCTTCTGGCATATGGCTGACAGCGTGTTAGGAGTCACGCTGAATAAAGGAGAACGGGCAACACCAGGAAGCCCTTCATTGGACGGCTTTATCAGAAATAAAAACTGAAAACCAGCACACAGTTTTAGAAATGCAAGTGTTAACAGCAGCGTTAACACATCGTCCAGAGGACAAGGCCAGTAGCCAGGGCTCAGCCCCCACGGTGATGCTGTTAGCTCCAGTGCCCTCCGCTCCGCCCCTGGCACACACCCTTGGGTTCACTTGTTGCTACAGTTGTATTACTATTTGCAGTAACCACTTTGCACAAGAGCCAAAAAGCTCACTGATGGAAGCAGCAAATTACAGCCTCTAGAGGAAAAGGTAACTCGGGGTGGGGCGCAGTGGTCCTAACCAGGAGGTGCTCCTGCCTCAAGGAGCTAGCGACCCACGCCACTTGAGAGGAGAAGCTGCAGGCATGACCTGGCAGCATGAACTTACCCTGCTAAACCTAACTGGGGAGCCTGCCCGTGGCTCCCAGTTGCCACCCGGTGAGGTGCAGCTGCCTGGGTCAGTGTTGTGGTTTGGGCCTGATCGGCAACCAACCACGGCAGCTAATCACCCTCCCTTCCCTCTCCCCACCTGGGAATGGGGGAGGGATTAGAGGGGTGAAGGGAGACTTGCAGGCTGAGATAAGAACAGTTTAATAATGGCAATAAAATAAGAACAATAACGATGATGGGGAAAACAAAAAGAGATATATAAACAGGTGATGTACAGCGTAATTGCTCACCACCCACTAACCAATATCCAGCCCGTTCCCGGCCAGCGACCCAGAGATACCAAGATCCCACAATTGCAATCCTGGAAGCGAGAGAGCTCCTTCCCAACCACCCCTCCTTTATATAGTGAGCATGACGTGCCATGATATGGAATATTTCACTGGCCAGTTTGGGTCAGGTGCTGTGGCCGTGCTCCCTCCCTGCTCCCTGTGCCCTTGCACACGGGCAGGACATGGAGAGTCGGAGAGTCCTTGAAGTCTCGGCAGCAGCTGAAAACATCAGTGTACTATCAGCATTCTTCCCATACAAAACCCAAAGCTAAATCCAAAACACAGCACTCATCTAGTCCCTGAAAAGGAATATTAACTCTATTTCAGCCCAAACTAAGACAGTCAGCCTCAGGGGAAGGGCCATCCTACACCCATCGCTCACCAGGACAGGGAACCAGTCAGGAAGGAGCCAGACTCCCAATGCTTCATTTTTGTTTGAATTCTGTTTCCAGCCGGAGGCTCTTGCACTCTAGTATTTCTTCCCAGAGTTACTCACATTGGAGGGCATTTCATACTCACTCTCCTCCCTCTCCCCACGGCTGTGGTGGGCAGCGCAGCCAGCCTTACCGCTGTTTCTGGTAGATGTGCCACAGCTGCTGCCACTTGACAGACACACCTGGATCTGGGATTGCATTTTCATTTTTATTGAAATACAAAAAAAGTGCAAACCGTGAAATTATAAGATCGGTGCGGATTAGAAGGAAATAAACAACGTGAACTGTGAAAACCCCAGCCCTGCACCTGAGGAACATCAACAGAAAAGGCGGCAGGGAACACCGGCAACAAAAGCAAAGCCAAAAATTTTGCACAGGAGCCCCCGTGCATAAGAGGCAACAGGGACCAAACGGGCCCTCAGCTCCCTCTCAAACGAGCAAACATTGCCACAAGGCATCCGGGTGGCCCCTGCCCCCCCCAGCTCTGGTGTCAGTACCGCAGGGAGCCATCAGAGGCCACTAAGACAGCAGGAGGCTTAGCAGAGGGGAATGGTCCAGGTGCTAAAAAGCAGAGAGCTGAAGTGGAACAAGTGGAAGAGGGAGGAATGGCTAACAGCTAACCTGAAAGGCAAGCTGGGGAAGAGACCCTCGGGGAGCTCTACAGCGAGGAGAAAACCCACGAAAGCCTCATCAGATGCTGGCCCCCACCTATGCCTGGCAGAGAAAAGCCAGCCCAGCCAGCGCCCTGCGGGTGGGCGGGAGGGGGGAATTTAACCCCCGGGCTTGGCAAACTGCAGGCTCTGGTGGCCACCCAGCACAGGCAGGCCCAGGCCAGCTGCTTGCTCAAGTCACAGGAAGGGTATTTCAATACAAGGCCTTCAGGAGAGCAGACGGCAAAAGCAAAAAGCAACCCTGGTTCCTGTGCCTGCTCCAGGGCCCCCGGCAGCTCCACCATGAGGAGCAGCAGAGGAAAGGGGATATTTACACTGGGTCCCTTCCAAGATTTGCAAGCACTTTCCCACCATGAGCAGTAGCAGCTTCCTGAACACCCTCCAAATCTGCTCCCTGCAGGCACTGAACTGGAGCAGGCTTTTATCCCTGCCTGCAGGGGATGCACCAGTCTCCATTTTGCTAAAAAAGGAAACATTTCAAAAATTCATTTTTAAAAAAAAAAAACAAAACAAAAAACAAACAAAAGCACCCACCAAACCAACTGCTGCCAGAACACAGACATGTGCAGCAGTCCCTGCTCTCCCCAGGGCCAGGAGCTAAGCTACCCCAGCTCTGCTCCTCTTGTTACTGGGCTGGGAACGGTCCTTGCTGCTCTGCAGGGCTGGAAGGGGGCTGCACACAGGGCCGTGCCTCACGCTCCCGCACACCGGCTCTTCCCAGTCTCAGCTGCACAACCTTGGGCCCGTTTGTCCCAGGAGAAGTTAGCCACGTTTACCTTTCCTCTAAGGGGATATAAGCGAGGCCACTGCCAGTTGCAGATACAGTCAGAGCACCAAGTCAACCCCCCCACACACCAAAGCCTACACAGAGTGGGGTGCCTGCAGGGACAAGAGGGGCTGCGCTGGGCTCCCTCCGCCTCCACGCTCCTCCCAGGCTGTCCTTGCCTCTTAAAACAAAAACTGGGGCAAGTACACCTCTCTCTACGCTGTCCAGCCCAGGAGATTACTCCTCTGCAGCACACCAGCCCCGCTAACTTACTCCAGCAGAGATCAGAGGTGACCTAGGAGCCGAGTATCCCAAACTCCGAAACATTTATTTGGTTACTGCTGCGAATCGTTCAGGCTAATACAATTTATATCCTGGCCAAGCAGGGAAGACTCCTACCCTTGGAAGAGGGAAACTAAGCAGCCTTGTAGCCTCCACAGGGCAAAGTCCCCCAGCACCTACCTAGAAGGGATCAAACCCAACCCTCTCCTAGAACATCTCTTGCTCCAGCCTCAGCAACGCTCAGTCCCTTGCTCGCTGTTCCCACCCCCGTGGTGGTGTGCCTCCTCCGAGCCAGCCGGCCAGACCTGCGCCGCGCCGCAGAGCTGCCCCGTCCCCGTTCCAGAGCTCAGCAAAAAGAGCCGGCTCCGTAAGTCCTGCGGCAGATGTCGCTTGTTTTGATCACCACTGGGGCGCCGACCTTTGGTCAGTGTTTCAAAGCAGGCTAAAACATTATGAAAAAGTAAATTCTATTTCAGCGTCCAGTAGCTTTTTTAAAATTCTGCTTGGTCCAAAAGCTTTGTCCCTGTGGGCCGGTGCAGAGGACTGGCCCAGGCATGCAGGGCACAACATACCGGTGACGGAAGGCTAGAAGCTCCCGACCAGCACCCTGCTGCCAGGCCCAGGCTGAGCAGAGGGATCTCTTTTAGCTCGGTAATGGGAACGCTACAACCCAAACCCCCCTGTGATGCCCCAACAGTATTGCAGGCGCTTTGGGAAGGTGCCAGGCCCACCCCGATCTCTCCAGCCATGCCCAGGGCACACGGGACGCACCCAACCCGGCTTCCACAGTAGGATGGAAGGAAGATACGAACCAAGGAGGAGACAGGGCAAAGGCCCTTGGCGTGGAATAGCTGTTCCCTCACAGCTTTGGCACACGAGTGCTCAGCACTTAGGCAGAAATTCAGAACCCAGGCCGGGCGCGCTCCAGGGTGAGGGTTAACCCTAGTCCCTAGACCATCCTTCAAGGCCACGCTCTCTGTTACACTGTGCTGGGGAAAGTTCAGCTCAAAAAGACAGCCAGCCAGGGCAGCACCAATATATGTGCCTGATGGAGAAGAGGCCCTGTGCTGCTGCCACAGGGAAGGAAGAATCCTCATAGTGTTCAGCAGTTTGGTGCCACCAGGGCACTTGCTCCCGGCCGGGCAGACTCACCCGCGGTCAAAGGGCCCCGGCCAGCCCCCCCGCCCAGCCAGGCCTGGCATGAACCACCCCAGCTGGGCTGGAAATGCTGCTGGAGGGACAAACACACCCCAGCTGGGTAACCCTGGGAGGCACCTCACCCACCACACCCCAGCAAACACCGACTAGTACCTGGAGTGCGTTGACCCCAGAGGAGTCTGGGCTCAATTCAGCTTCTGGAGTCTGACAGGTAATACAGCCCGTGTGCTTCACTTGCCTGCCAAAAAGCACGGCGTCTAGAGCGGTGTTTGCAAGTGCAGGACATGCTGCTACCTGAAGCACGAGGGCTGCCTGGCTCCCTTTCCTGCTGTAGGTGCCTCTGGAGAAAGGCAGGAGGCACGCTCGGTGCTGAGAGGTGGCACTCGCAGCAAGGAACATCTCTGCCACAAAACCCAGCACGCCTGCCCTAGCCCAGCTGGGGCAAGGAGGGGGGAGCCGGGGCTGTCAGGAGCTTAAACAAAACCAGATCTTTGCTGAGGAAGGGACCAGGAGGGCAAAAAAAACTGCATACGAAGGAAGGAGGAAAGGAAGGCAGGTTGTCTGATAGGGCAACAGACTGGTGATGAGCCCTGGAGGAGCTGCGCAGACTGGCAGGTGGGTCAGGACTCCCCTGGCAGCAGCTGGGATACCAGCTCCCCTCCACATCTGGAGCAGCAGGTCTCCTGCTCGCTTTCTTACACACCTTCTCCACCATCTCCACAGCCCTCGCTCTGCTCATCACCCAGAGGATCAGTGGTCCCTTTGAGACAGCTTGGTCACAGCTCCGAGACAAGGTGGGAAAGAAGGTGGGAAGGTGGGCACAGTGTGCTGGCATGGGCCGGCCTGGATTCAGGCCTCCACATCCTCAAAGAGCTCCTTCTGGTGGTCCAGCAGGAACTTGGTAAAGGTGTTGATGGGGTTGATGGCTTTTAGGGTGATGGCGACATCTTTGGCCCACAGCAGATTCGGGCCAAAGACAACTGCCAGGTTGGTGTTTGTCATCTTGTTTCTGTCACTGTGAGCAGAGACCTATGTGGGAAGGAAAGAGAGCACTGAGTCCTATGGAACGCCACAGCAGCTCCCACCAGGCCTTATCGTGACAACGGGACCAACAGCACCGTTGGCCAATATCTCTACAGGCCAGATCACCGCTCAAAATAAAATAATCCTCCCTCTTGCTAGAAGAGCCTTGCAGTAGCTTCCATGGCAGCAGAGAGCTCTGTAGGGCAGATCTGGGACCCCTCTTCTAGTCTAATCGTTTACTCAGATATTTTGCAGGTGTACCTCCACCCCGGGGAGCTTTCCGCCTCCCTGGTACAGACCACATGGGCTTAATGCCTGCCTGCACCTCTCAGCGTTATGAGAAGCAACTGCTTAGGCTAGTTCATCATAGTCATTCCTGATCTCTGTATTACAAGAATATAAGGTAAAGAAAGACAATTTCCTAGCTTGAGTCTCATTTCCTCTCAAAGGAGAAGTGGGAGCAGGCAATCAAAAAACTGATGCAAGGCACTGGCCACCGAATTGGAATATGACTGGCCGCCTTTGGAGCGGCTCACCTGCACCAGAAAGGCTGTGAGTAAACGGAGCACTTGGTAGTTTTCTTCTGGCAGAGTCTGGAGTGTTTTGCGAACAACATCCACGCGATTCACCTCTTCCACACCTGAAAAAAAAAAAAAAAAAAAAAAAAAAATAAATCAAGAGAGACAGGACAAGCAGGTCCATGAAGCATCCTCAGCACCCACCCTGATGAAATCCCTGTTTGCAGACACAGAGTATCCCATGCAGGACTGCCCACCTCTGCAAAGGGCAAAGTGCCAGTGCAACATTAGGGAATAGCACACTCTTGTTACAACTCACTCTGGAAGCTGACAACGTGGCTGTAGAGGCCAAAAGTGAGGAGGGGCTCAGGTAGCTCCCTCAGGAAGGTCTTGAGAATGACAGCAGGGAGGTGGACATCTTCATACTGCTGGAAATCTACAGGCACACCTGAGAAAGTAGAGCAGAGACTCAGTGCTCGCTGCCCAAAGCAGGACCTCCTCCTGACAAAGGATGGGATGTGGTGGTCAGAGTCCAGAACTAGGGAAGGAGTATTTTAAAGAACACAGAGATGGTACTGAAGCACCACATCTTCTAGCAGAGTGGAAAAACGTGTCCCAGAAGCATATGCTGAATCCAGCACGACATCTTTAGAAATCATCAAATGAAACAGACGATTGAGTTTCTTCCTGGCCATCTTCCGTCCCTCCAGTATAACCAGACTAAGATGGTACATCCCATCCCGAGAAACGGGGAGATTTTCAGGAAGGAAAAGGGCAGCGAGGGAAACATGAGTGAAAAGGAGTATGCTTTCCACAGAGCCAAAGTATCAGATGCTTCTACCTTGCAAATGAGGTCATGCCCTGATGGGCCCTCACCCAAAGGCCTCTCAGAGAAGGAGAGGAGCCACGATGGACTAGTTCCAACACAGCTCCAGTTGGACAGGAGTAGTTTGGGAATGATTTGGGCTCTGCTGTGTCTGGGCACTTACCCATGTTGTATTTTTGCTGGACCTCCCTGACAACCTGTGTATTTGCTGATCTCCGGAAAATCCCCTCTGTAGCAAGAGCTGTGAAGTGAGAGCAGACGGAGAAGAAACATCAGCCATGTGAGAGTCTCTAGAGATGATCTTAACGATCCTAAATCCATGCTGTGGGGTGTTCAGGCAGATAAGTCCCTTTTTCAGAGTACGGCAATTCTTGATGCGTCCACTACCAGGCAAAGGACAAAAGGGGCATTTTGCTACTCTTACACAAGTGGGAGTATGGATTGGAGGAAAGAGGTCTCCTAAGCCCTGCACAATCTCTCTTGAAAGCTAACTCACCTCGCTCAGGCCCTTACACCTTATTCTAGACTGCTGTTTATGTTACCACACTCTGGATGGGAACTTGGCTGGAGGAGAAGCCACTGACATGGAATTGAGAGGGGCTGCAGCTTCCCCTGCACACTTACCATGCTCCTGCAAATGAGCAATGGTGTCTCTGACCACCAGAGGAACAGGAGACTGATCCGGGCTTTTCTCCCTGAGACTGTGGGAAGAGACAAAAGGTTACAAATGACGGGTCCCCTCCTTGCCCTGCATGCAGCCCCCGAGTCCTGAAGTTGCCCACACAAGTTCTACCCCATGGGATCTTGCTACCCCAGCCCCTGGTTCAGCCGTTATTCCAGCCTTCTCTCCTCTTCACCCATCATGCTGCATCATCCACTGGAGCAAGCACAAACTCATTACTACGCCACAGGAACATTTCTCTATCTTGTGTAAAAACCACAGCCTGCAGATGCCAGGGCAAAGGTGTTCTCAGAAGGCAAGGCTGCTCGTTCTGAATCAGGTGAAAAGGGTTGAGCTGCCTTTTGCCTTCCGCATAGGAGCAAGGGCAGAAAGAAGCTGACACATGAGAAATACCATGGGATAAGCTCACCCACCCCACTCCTGTAACAGAAGAAACATCAACCCAATGGCTGCCAGGGAAGACCAAGTGATGCCAAGGCGTTCACTGCCACTCTCACATCCAATTGTCTATACCCCTTGACAGCACAGAGCTGTGCACCCCTCTCAGGCTACAAACAAACTCAGGCACGCAGCACCACGGGGCTGACGTCTGGAAATGCTGTGCTGGAGCTGGGGAATGTGTTCCCAGGCTGCTTCAGAGGATCTGTCTGGCCACACGGTACTGGCTCCTCCTCATTCCTCAGGCAGGCAAAAATCACACTCCCAAGTTAAAAATACCTTCAGCACTTAGCCAGTATCACTAGCCCTTGCCAGTGTCTGTGTTTGCCTTTGTCACCGTGCAAGAATGGGGGGTGGGAATCAGTACAAGGGTGAATGGTAGTGCTTTTAAAATAGAATTTATGATATGGAAAAAACTAAGATCTGAAGCACTGCTCAATCAAAATAGCTTAGCCCTAAAGACACTTCCATAAGCCTCCTACAGACTTCCTTGGCTTAAAGGAGGTTTCTAGTGGCATAAAGCCGTCCCCATGGCCCTTATTTTGCTCCTCCCTTAGCATCCCTTAGCTGCAGAAATAATCTCATCCTAATCTAGATAAAATCTAGCCGGGGAATCAAGAGAGTGAAACTGAACTGAATCAGTCAGCATCTGGACACGAGTGCAGTTCCTCAGAAGAATGATTAAAGCTTTGTAGGAAGTCTGAACTGCAAGAAATTCTACTGCCACTTTTGCTGCTGTTCAGTTATAAATACAGTGACCATGTAACAAGCAAGTCAGGGCAAAAACAACACAATCCAGAGATACTCACTGCTGGAGCGAGACTCCAAACTGCTGGTTTGGCAGCGGTGGGCGTGGGGGTGTTGGCTTCTGGGGCACCTGCGAAGGTTTCTGCAGGGATCTCAGATATTCATCATATCTGTGGCAAAACACAGACCAGTGACAAGCCACTCCACCTCCCAGAAAAAGCATGAACCCAGCACTGCATGCGACCCCCTGCACAACCACTGATAACAGCTCCAGCCTAGCATGGTTGATTCCACCTATGCAAAAACAGGACAGGCAGCTCTGGAGAACAGAGGCAAAAAGAACAAAAACCTGGGTGCCAGAAAAAAAGCAGGGAGAAAGAAATATCTATCTGGAATTGGGAGCTGGAGCAGCTGAGGACGACAGACAAGGTGGGCAGGAGGCCAGGTCAGCACTGCTTGTGAGGAGACAGTTGCACGTGTGTGTGAGGGACAGGGAATCAATCTGGTAGGACCGAGATTGTGGCAACTTTGGGGAGCCCCAAAGACAAGCTGAACTGTGCAGAGTGAGCAAAGCAGGCGCCCAGACGCAGCAGATGCACCACGAGCTCCAGGTCGGAGTGAAAGGCGAGAGCTTGCAGAAAGCCCCTGAGGGGCGAGTGGGAGAGGCAGGGTGGGTGCTCCACTGGAGGAGGGTTTTTCAATTCAAGGACAGAACTGAGCACTGGGACCAAAGACACACAGGAAGGAGCATGGAGAGAAACAACAGTCTTTAAGGCAATTTGTCACCACTCCCTCCAAAACCACTGCCTGAGTGGAACAATCTCTTCCTTCCCTCGCCATTCCTCTAGGAAAGTCCCCTCTCACAGAGCCCTAAGCGAAAGGGAGACAGGCAACATTCTCACTTCAGCACTTGGCTTGGGATCCCCAACTGTTCCAGCTTCACATACTCTTCCAGCTCACTAAGGAAGTTCACGTAAAAAATCTTTCGTCCAAACTTAAAGCTGAAAAAGAAGAGAAAAGTAGGTATGTGAGGAAATCTGGAAATCCAGTATGGGAACGGATTTCTTGCAGGCAAGGAGAGCAGGGGTTTGCAAGAGACATCAACGAGGCAAAGGGGCAGGTATGGCTCAGCAGCAGAGATGTCACTCACACAGCTCTCCGAATCCACGTATTTTAACCAGGAGATGCCAAGACCTTCCAAGCCACGTGAGAAGCCCTGGCAGCAACAGGCTCCCTAAAACGCTGGATTTCTCCTTCCTAAGTTCAGCAGTAGGCTGGAGAACATTTTGTTTTCAATTATTTCACAGAGTCAGGACTTCAGCATCAACACAACGAACTAAACATAATTTGGACTGATACTCTCACTTCCTTTTTCATTATTAGCAAAGCCTGCAACACTTAGCTTCTACTTAGCTGGATAGAAAGGGAACAGCACAGAACTGCAAACTTGGTAGGTTCCCAAAGCAGTACTACTTGTGCCTGAATATTTCTGAGCTCAGAAACAGGAGGAAATAGCAGAGGGTGAGAGACTTCAGGGGAGGCTCAGCAGCCTGGGCTCATCTTGTGCCCTGCTGAGAATGCTCCATTATTCCCCTGCAGTGTGAGGATGCGGGTGAACCTCCAATAGTGCTTCCTACCTGATCAGAGGCTTGAAGAGAATCAGCAGGGTCTTGATGAACATGGTTGGGTGCACAATATACAAGGCTTTAATGTTCTTCTTGTACCTGCCAAGAGAAGCTATATAAGGATAAGCTGCACTTTCAGCAGAGGAACCAACCTTTCCCACCAGATTAAGGCACCCTGGGTGCTCCGTTCCTTCTGCACTGAGCCTCACCAGGCCCCAGCACCCACAGCCTCTGCTCTCCCACGCTTTGTAGCTGTGTCAGGCCACACATCAGCCTGAGGGAACGCTCAACTATATCCCAAGATTCACTGAGAAGTAGTGAGCAGCCTCACCAGGAAGCAACAATTACACCCTGGGGTTGACACATTTGCACTGGGTCCTGGTTTTGCTGCTTGCCTCTTGGCCTAAAGGATGTAACTACAGAAAGAGATGTTTATCCCATGAGTCAACCTGCGTTAAACAACAACTCACTTCCATAAGCAGCAGACAGAAGTGATACTAAATTATGATCACCAAGCTACATGGAGGGGCTGGGGAAGATCTTCTATGTTAGGCTACAGAACAGCACGTCACATCCTTGCTTGCTGCAACCTTACTCACTTGCGATCAAATTCCCTGTAGGCATCCCGCAGCCAGCTCAGGGATGGCTTGTTCTCACTGGTCAGGCCATGGTGCAGGTACACCAGTGTGTAATCACTCTCCACATACTGGTCCAGTGTGAATTTCAGGTACCTAAGAAGAGAGAACTGCTGAACTCACACTTCATGCTTTGCCACAGAGAGGCTCTTCCTCCCTTTGGGATTCAGTTTTGTGTGCCATAACAGAGGATTTGCATCTCCAGCAATGGAGGTAAGCACTTGGGAAGGCATGTCCAGCTAAAGAAGCTACTGCAGATAGATCTAGCCCCAAGAATCCAGCACCTGGGAACTATATCAGGCTTAAGAAGTTAACGGCAGCCTCTTAAGACACTACTCACCCCAGCAGTTTCACATGATCAAGTTGATGACTTGGGGGCATCCGACAGGCACTGAACAAAATGACTTTCCTTCCATATTTGTCATCACCTACAGATGAAACGCCAGAGATTATAGGGAGTTTAAGGACTACATTGTGGTCTTGAGAGCAAGGGATAAACAGCGAATGGGAAACCACCATAACAAGGCAGAAGTCTGCCAGCAACGCTAAACCTGATTTTCAGCAGAGTTACTGTGGGCCTAGTATGGAAGCAGAAACCTGAACACCAAGGGCCTGGCAAGTCAACAATGCGAATGGAGAACAGAGTCCATGCTCCAGCCCTGAACGAAGAGGAAGGACTGGAAGCCAGGATGCCTCAGAGCACACAGGGATGGAAGCCTCAAGTACAAAGCGGAGTGCTCAGGGCATGCATTAATCCTGCAGTGCTGCCCCTGGGCACCGCTCCTGATGCACGTGTGCCCAGGGAAAACTGCCCCTCACAGGCACAACCACAGCTCCTTCTGTCCTGCACGCAGTCCCACGCTTGCTGCTTGTGGCCTGGTGCATTTGTTTCTTGCTTCGCCCGAAGCTTAGTCCTGCACATAGAACAAAGCCATTTTATACCCTGGAAACCAGGGTAGCCCCAGCCACACCCCAGAGATGAGAAGCAAGCATCATCATAAGCCTCTTCTATAGATGGACCAAGTAGGGCTGCTGGGTTCTCCAGGGGGTTGCAGAACCAGCTGCTCACTGCTTCCTAGATTTTCCATCCACAGAGACATTTTTTCAACCTGAGCTGGAAGGAGCCGCGAAGTGGGACACAACAAAGTATTCTGTGTGAAAACCCAGCAGAAAACAATCCCCATCACACTGGAGTCAGATAACCCACTAAGAACCCTCATCCCAGGGAGGACACTCCCTCCCAGCCACCGCTTGAGGCTTCGAGACAACAAGCCAAGTTTTCCCCCAAACAAGTTTTCATACATCAGTGGACTTCTGCCCGCAGGGATCTTAGTCCCATGAACAAAACCCGAGCAGATGGGCATGGACAAGCTCAGCAGACATGCGAGGGGAAGGGAGAGATTTAGATAAGTAAGAACCAGGTCACAAATCTTTCGGCCATAGGGAGTTTGAGGGAAAGTCTGGTTCTCTCCCAGAGACAACACCCAATCCATTTCCATAACAATGACTTGCTTTTTAGCACCAGTGGAGATGAGATGGTTCTTTTAGTGTAAAGGGTTGAAGTCTTCCAATCTTTCTTGCTACTCAGCCTGCTCTGGGAGCTTTGTCAAGCAGGAGGGAGCACAGAGCAGTGGAAGGGGCTACTGAGGTTATACTCAACAACACACTCCTTCCTCCCCTACGGCATGACCATCTCATACACATCACAGCACAGAAAAGCAGCAGGCAGGCCTGCAATGCATCACTCTTCTTGAAATATACCCTTTCCCCACACTGATTTACAATATTCGGAGCACGCAGCCATTTTCTCACCTTTGCATGGGCTCTGGCCCTCAACTACCACTTGGTTACACTTGCCATGCAGCAACTGAGATCTCAAACTGAACCCTGGAACAGCAAACCTGAGGGTTCTGGGAACGCTGCCTGTTAGTAACAGATGACCACTTGGTGCTGTAAATGGCAGCCAGAGAACTCACACACACCAGCCATGACATCAAGATGCCACTAATTCCTCCTTTACCCCCACCCTGACTGGAAGAACAGAATCCCTTGCTACTTGTTCACTTCTATTTTTCCCTCGCAAGTCCCATTTTCAAGTCACTCGCCAAACAACACAAGAGACAGAATTTACTGATGCACACAAGCCAGAACCTCTACAAAAGCTCGGGACACTGAGGCAGCACTAGGTACAGACCAGGAAAGGGGTGGCATAGGCCATCACATTGACATACACATGCGGAGGTGAGGGGCAAGTAGGGAGGACGCATGACCCAGAATGCAGGACTAGGAGAGAGTGATGCAAGGCTCATCTGGAACAACCAGATACAATCACAGCCAGGCCACAAGACCAACATCACATTGCACATCCCATGGTAGCCCACTCTCTGCCTAGCCCAGAGTTTCTTGGTAGCTTGCTATGAGCTTTAGGGCTGGGTCTAATGCACATAAGCTGTCTATAAAAGAAAAGTGCAGGCTACAAAGTCCTAGGCAGGGAATATGACACTGTGACCATTCCAGTGGTCGTGAGCCACTCGTACGTCTGCACCTGGAAGACAAAAGGTCCTGTCTGCAGAGAACAGCAAGAAGATGGTAGAATCTGAGAATCTGTTTTGTAGTGATGAAAGAGAATGGTCAGAAAGACTACAGATCTTTGGAGATCATAGCTCTGTGCTAAAGTCAGAGTAGGTGCTATCTTCAATTAACTGAGAGGCTGCATTTCACACCAGAGCGGATGGTCTGAGGGCTGGAAGCAGGCTGCAAGCTTGATCAAGGCAGGCCCTGGTTGTGAAGAACTGCAGTACAGCACCGTGTTCGTGCAATGTTGTGGGTGGCCACACACTCAGCTCAGGCTCCTGGGCACTGATTTCCAGACCTGACAAGTCACAAGTCAGGAACCACATAGCTTACACACCTTCCTCTGGAATGACCTGAAAGCCCATGGCAGGGCCTATGCAAAGTCTAGAATCTCATTCCTTATATAGCCCTGGTGAAAAGGTCTGGGGTCACCGGTAAAGAAAAAATGGACAATCCATGATTCTGCCAAAGGCGAGATGGCACGTTTCCCCTGGATGATTTCCAGGGCCAAGTACACCAAAAGATAATCTACAGTCCCCTGGATGACTGAAAAAGGAGCGGCCCATTTTGCCTTCCAAATCAGAATGAATTTATGCATGAGACTTACACAGGAGCCAGCACGCCCATTACTGAATTCTGTGTTTCACTCCAGTTTCATCACACTGAGCTCAGCCTGTCAACGCAGACACTTTCAAAACAACCAACTGCCAATCTTGTTTCCACCTGACATAGATCAGATCAGTCTAGTTCCTCCAGACATGACAAAATCCAAAATTCAGCATCAAAGCTGAACAATCAGTTCTTCCAATTCATAAATGAGAACCTAGAGCCCATTCCATGCATTCTTGACCGCTGGAGGAAACTGCCTGCAGGTGGTCTCTCTCCCTCCAACCGAACAGATTCTTACCACGTTTGATCTTTCCCAGACTCTCCATCCCTTGTACTGTTTGCCTTCCTGTTTGCAATATTAATCTTATGTATCTAGGGTTTCACTCCCTGTTTGCAATTGCAAATAGCTGAAGTTTCCATTGAACGCTACTACAGACCATGAAGTAATGCTCAGCTCCTCAGGCTGTCTCCTACCTCTCTCAGGTGAGGAATGCTCAATAGTTAACAACAAACCAAGAGAGAAGCAATTGTACACCATCAGTATTCACAGAGCACCCCAACAATGCGCATACCTTTATGAGTAAGTTCATACATTAAAAATATTTTCAATCTACACTGGAATCAAACTACCTCCCTACAGGATGGAATTCAGCTATATGGTTTTTTAAACAACAACGAGCAAGACAGTAGCCAATATGCAAAGCCTCTCCAGTCAAGACCACTGCTTATCTAAAGAGATATTAACTCGTAGCACTAAGGGACATGCTAATTCTCCCAATCACCGTTACGGTGATTTTAATGCCCAAACTCAGTTTTTCCTCTCACCAAAGAGCAGAGCTTCCAGTGCCTTTCTGAGACAAGGGGCAAAGAACATCATTGCTGTGGTTCCAAGCCATCAGTGCAGGACCATACTTCTAAAAGGGCTGAGGTTGAAATGCTGACACTAATGTTTCAGATTGAAACCTGCAGCAATACAAACATACCTGGGCAGAAATCCATATCAAGGTAGCAGTACTGTCCTGAAACAGGACTCTCTATTAATCTAATCTGTACAGCCAACAAGGAAAACACATGCTTGACTTGCAAATTCTGTGATGTATTTCTAGGTATTTCTCAGGAAATATATCTGTTAACCTTTATGCCATGATTGAAGGCTGTCATACTACTCACTGGAAGCATAACTGCAGGCCAGGGACCCTGCTCATTCCTACCTTCATCAGGTACCCTCAGCTGAGGGCCCACCTCAGTGAAAGATTCAAATGGGAATATCCTGGTACTTTGATACTGAGAGGATGCAGCTGGATAAAAACTGCCACCAAAAGCTATTGGTAAAACAGCAAAGTTAACAGAGCTCAATGTCAAGGAGAAGACATGACTACACAATTCTGGAACATTATTACACAAGTTTCACAAAGCTAAGGATGTTTATCAGAGCCACTGTCAGTAAAAAACTTCTCTCGTGTAATTTCAGGTTCCTGCCAAGCTTATGACACAGCTGGGCAGTGTTTAAACATAGCAGATTTTAGCTGCCTGTTGAATTCCAAAGCAGATTTAGCCCCTCAGGAAAAGAAGGTAAGGAGCTGAAAGTAGAAGTATTTTAGTACATCACATCTTCCACCTAGATATTCTCAGTATCCAAACACTGCCAGAATCATAAAGCCTTACCAAGTGACTACAGCTCTAACTGATACAAGATATACTAGAGGGTCAAGCTAAAGAATGCAAAATGGAAGGATGCCCGAGAACACGGCAAATGGGGGAAAAGAGTCCATGTAATGAGGCAGTGAGGATCAGCATTTCCACAGAGTGCGTGAAGGTCTTGGCCCGCTGCTCAGAAACAGCAGAAAGAATTTCACACCAAACGAAGTTTTCATCTACACTGAGAAGTGTGAAAGCATCAGCAGCCAAATTCTTAAGGCTTTGGACTGAAGTCCAGAGAGTTTTAACAAATTGTCAGGGAGCACAGAGCAGTCTAGCACAGCTTCAGGCTAGAATGAGGAACAAGTTACCAAAACACAACACTGCTGCAGCCAAATGGAGAAAAAATAGATAAGAGTTGCTTTCAGCTGGAGAATCCAGTTTAAGCGCCAGCTGCTTAGCACGTGAGTGCAGCAGCAGATCATATGAAGGAATCCTAGAGTGAACTTCCAAAGCACACATGACAACGAGGTAAATCTGAGTTCACACTGAACTGGTCCAGGCAGGCCACCACCATGACAGAAGAGGAACAGGATTTACACTGAGA